CATCATTTGTTTACTTTTGAACATCGGCAAAAATCAAACATTTCCCCTACTTTGAGCTCCATTTTCAGGTTCTTTTTATAGTAACACCAATCAAAATCACTTCTATTTCTATAATATGTTTTCCATTCTATCAAATGAGACCAAGAAGACGAGAATACAACCATAAATACTATACGAAAATAGACCACAAATTTGGCTTTTAATTAAAAAAAACGGTCAGTTTTTTTTTTCTCATTATGCACTGCGTGCTGCAGGATTTTTTTATATGGTGCACACTGACCACACAGACCCATTCTCTCACATGTGGGCTTACCAGCTTTCTCCTGCTTGATTTGAAGCCGGTAGAATTTATGAGTATATATACATCAAACACGGTACCTCGTAAGATGTATACGTATGTATGACCAAAACAGTCAAAGGGTTATTAATATGAGTTAATGGAGACAAATGGTGTTTAGGACTTGACATGCTGTTGGAGTGTAAGTAAAGTAACATTTATGAAGGGATTCAGGGAAACTGGCAGGCCAGACTTGAGTCCTGGAGATGGAAAGTACAGTACCTACGCTCTGAGGGAGGGGTGTTAATGTTGCAGTTTTATAGCTGTAGTGTAAGCATATCTCTGGCAAGACAGTGATGGAGGGAACGATGATAAAAATTTTTCTTTTTCGGGCCACCCTGCCTTGGTGGGAGATGGCCGATGTGTTAATGAAAAAATTAAAAATTAATAATAATAATAATAATAATAATTCATGAGAGCTGTATAATAATTTCTGTGAGCTCTATAATAATAATAATAATAATAATAATAATAATAATAATAATAATAATAATAATAATTTTTGTGAGCCATATAATAATAATAATCATTAAATAAATAAAAAAATAAAAGTTTATTTCTGTGAACTGTACAAAAAATGTAGTTAAATGTATTAGTACAATCATAGGCACAAAATAAAGCCACTAATTATGAATTGAATTTTGGGCAACTAGTTATAACATTTACATGCTACTTAAGAACTAGATGGAGGCATGAAAGGTGGTGGTGTACTGTAATACTTTGTAGAAATCAAGTTTATCATTGTTCATAATACAATTATTGTACTGTACTGTGAATAGAATATTTGTCAATAGAGATTCATATTTAAAAAGTTCATATAGTAACAGGATTGTAAATGATGAAGCCTGCTGCATTGCTCCTTTTTTTTTTTTTTTTTTATCTAAACTTTGTCCTTCCTTAACACCTCCACCTCTTAAAGAAGAAGAAATCACAATATTATGGTTGAAACAATTCAGCAAAATCCTGAACTTAGGAGAGGATAGTTAGGATGACATTTATTTCCTTCCTGGCCCATTTTCAAATCACAGTTGAGCGAGAAAAGGGCAGGGAAGACGTTCCCTGCCTTTTACCTTAGATGTGATTTGACAATGATTCATGATGATCTGAAATGTCATCTTAGCATTCCTTTTCAAAGTATGGATTTTTAGTGACCTTCCACCTCTCTCACTCTACCATTTCCTTCACACTGTGTATCATTGAATGGGCTTAGTGCTTAACAAGATAAAATAATTTATATATATTTTTTTTAACAGATTCACTTATATACTAAATTCCATTACAGAATCTATAATCACCACTTGAAAAATCATTGTCCAATTGAACTCGGGAATCTGTGCTTTGTAATCCTTTTGATTTGGCTTTTCATTTTTGACGATAGGCATTTTGCAGTTAGCTTTTGATTATTTGCTAGTTTTCCCATTTTCTTTTTTTTGCGTTCTGTACAATTCTTAAATTGAAAACTAACTACGTGGAACCTTGGTTTTCGTGATTAATTCATTCCAGAAAGTCTGACGAAAACCGAATTGTATGAAAACTGAAACAATATTTCCCAAGAGAAATAATGTAAATCCAATTAATCTGTTCCAGACACCCAAAAATATTAAAAAAAAATACATTTTATAGAAAATAACTATAGTTTTACACCCAGAAAACAATGAGAAATACGGTGGACCCTTGGTTATCGGTCATTCTGGATATCGGCCAGTTTGGTTTTCACCTGCTTTTTTGGCCAAAATTCTATCCCGGTAATTGGCCATTATTTCGGAGATCGGTCGTATTGGAGGTGGCCACCCGCCACATTCATGAGTCAGTCTGACTGTGTCTCTGGGTGAGTGAGGAAGATTTCATGTATTCATCCAAACATTTCACAATAACCCATTGTTTTTTGTGGTTACTGATTGAGTGCAACTGTGAAATAAGCCACCATGGGCCCAAAGAAAGTTCCTAGTGCCAGCCCTTTGATAAAGAAAATGAGAAACATGATAGAATTAAAATAAGAACTCGTAGCAAAGTACAAAAGTGAAGGAGGAAGAGAGAGGGGAGATCGTGCTTTCTTCAATGATTCAGTGATTTTACGATATGTACGATACTAAAGCAGCAGGAGTCAATAAAGGCTATAGAGCCAGCCAGCAATAAAGTGTAGCATTAACAGTGTAGCAAGTAAGTTAAGCATTTAAGCAATAGATAAAGGATGACACGAAACTGACTCCTCCAATGTTGTTGGAGGTATATGGGACCACTGACAATATACGCCGGACTGCATATCTTCCACTACCCTAAACCAATACTGGTATCTCCTTCAAGTCACTGGACATGTTCCTAGAAATTCTGCAGCTTGTGGAACTCTTTGAAACATGGTTTCATACGCAATGGTGTTTTACACTCCTCACACATAAAACGAGTGTCTGTGTTTTTGTGGGCGTTTTTTGTATGTGCACAGACAAAACACCTCGTCTGAGCAGTTTTCTACAAAGTAGTAGCAGGCAGTTGTGTTAGGTAGTTATCCTAGGTAAATGGTCTTGTGTCATTCCTTCCTTCCTTTCATCTCATCCTTCCTTTCTTCCTTCCTGCCTTACTTCCTTCCTTCCTTTCTTCCTTCCTTCTGGTTTCTATAATATATATACACATATATAGTCACTGGACACTTTTCTAGAACTGCTATTAGCTTCTGGAAGTTTGTTTTGTGTGAGTGTGGGGTGGGGGGTTGTAAATGTGCTGAGTCAGGGTGTGGCTGCTGTCAAAATGACAAATTATACCATCACTCGCTACCCTTACTGCCTGTCAACACCTATGGGGTCCATGCCTTCTTCTCCGCCGTCCTTTCTTTCTTCCTTCTTGCCTTCCTTTCTTCCTACCTTCCTTATCTTCCTTCCTTCTTTCCTTCCTTCCTCTCATCTATTCCTTCCTTTCTTAATTCATTCCTTCCTTCCTCCTTCCTTCCTTCCTTCCTTCCTTCCTTCCTTCCTTCCTTCCTTCCTTCCTTTCTTTCTTTCTTTCTTTCTTTCTTTTCTTTCTTTCTTTCTTTCTTTCTTTCTTTCTCTTTCTTTCTTTCTTTTCTTACTTACTTACTTACTTCCTTCTGGTATCCTGGGCATTGCTTTCAGTCACAAACTCCTCAAAACCATGAAATTCATCTTCAGAGATATTTCCATCTGTGTTTGAGCTATCAGTTGGGAAGAGAAGAGTCCCAGATTCGCCGGGGAGTCCGACATTTCTTACCACTAGGCATGCTGAACAAGGACTACTGAAATGGCATTCCCACAATGCACCACTGGCTCCCCGATTTTTTTTATACTGTGCATACTGACCGTGGAGACCCATTCTCTCACATGTAGGCCTACCAGCTTTCTCCCACTTGATTTGAAGCCGCTAGAATTTTGGCGTATTAATACGTCAAAAACATTGGCTCATAAGCTGTAAATTTTATTATCACACTGGCCGATTCCCACCAAGGCAGGGTGGCCCGAAAAAGAAAAACTTTCACCATCATTCACTCCATCACTGTCTTGCCAGAAGGGTGCTTTACACTACAGTTTTTAAACTGCAACATTAACACCCCTCCTTCAGAGTGCAGGCACTGTACTTCCCATCTCCAGGACTCAAGTCTGGCCTGCCGGTTTCCCTGAACCCCTTCACAAATGTTACTTTGCTCACACTCCAACAGCACGTCAAGTATTAAAAACCATTTGTCTCCATTCACTCCTATCAAACACGCTCACGCATGCCTGCTGGAAGTCCAAGCCCCTCGCACACAAAACCTCCTTTACCCCTTCCCTCCAACCTTTCCTAGGCCGACCCCTACCCCGCCTTCCTTCCACTACAGACTGATACACTCTTGAAGTCACTCTGCTTCGCTCCATTCTCTCTACATGTCCGAACCACCTCAACAACCCTTCCTCAGCCCTCTGGACAACAGTTTTGGTAATCCCGCACCTCCTCCTAACTTCCAAACTACGAGAAGAAGCTGTAAATATACGGCCGAAACAGTCAAAGGGTTATTATTGTACTGTTCATGTAAAATATTAAATATGGAAAGTTTAAATAATATGTAGGAGCAAAATTTTGTAATGTTCATTATTTCAAAATTTAAAAGGCCTACAGGAACTTAATCCTCATGAATGTAGGGATTCAGTTGTACAGTACAATATGAATACAGTATTCTGTATCAGTTCTCTGCGCTTGCCCTTTTGTGTTAATAAAATTGGTTGTTGCATCATCTAAGATATGCAAGATCTTGCAATTGTGGCACATTGAGTTTTGCAATATCGACAAATAACTGGTGTTTGGCTTGCTAAAAAAAAAGGCCCTGAATGGACTCATACTGTTCATTTGAGTACACACCAAGTGGTAGGGACAAGAAGTACATGGCTTACTGCAGTCTTTCTTAGCCAAGGTCATAGCTGTGTTTACATGGCATGCAGAATGAACATTGCTTACCTTAATTGAATGAGAGCTGCATACATCACTCATAGTGCTGTACCACTGTTATGATTGTATAACTACAGAAATGTGAAGATATTTTTATTACTCTTTACAGTACAGTATTACCATATGTTATCCTTAATGCAAATTAAGAATGATAATGAAATTACATAATTGTATATGTTTATGTAAATCAGTAATTTATGATACAGTAATTATATAAGCATTCTTATTTGTGCAGGTTAAAAAGAAGCCATAAAATGAATAGTGTTGGAGAGGAATGTATTGATCTGAAGCAAACTTATGATAGCTGTTTTAACAAGTGGTTTGCTGAAAAATTTTTGAAAGGCTTGGCTGAAGAGGACAAAGATTGCAGTAATATATTCACTGCTTACCAATCCTGTGTTAAGGTGAGACATTCTCAGTTAAATTATGTAATTCTGTATCTCCTGCATATAGACTTTTAACCCTTAAACTGTCCAAATGTAGATCTACATTCACGTGTGTAGCACTCCAAATGTAGATCTATATTTTTTCACATTAAGCATATAAAATAGAAAGTTTGGAGCGCTACACACGTGGGCATAGATCTGTGTTTGGACAGGTTAAGGGTTGATGGATATATTTGTGTTGAATAGTACATTTTTTATGTATATTTACGTCTCCTTGTATTCAAGAGGGTCTTTGTCTTGCTACTGGAGCAACAGCAAGTAAGTGCAACCACACCGAACTTGCTTCAAACATTTACAGATTCCAGCAGATGTCTCCACTGATCTCTGTTTATATATTAGGCCTATAATTCTTGTAAATGCTGTAGACTGAAATTTTGGTATTTTTGGGGCAAAATTTTTAAATCTATTGTTTAAAATATACTGTACAGTGGACCCCCGCATACCGTACGCATCGCATAACGTTCAATCCGCATACCGCTCGCTTTTATCGCAAAAATTTTGCCTTGCATACCGCTCAAAAACCCGCTCACCGCTCTTTGTCCGAGACGCGTCCAATGTGCGCCCTTAGCCAGCCTCACATGTGCCGCTGGTGGCATTGTTTACCAGCCATCCTCCGCGGTAACATCCAAGCATACAGTCGGAACATTTCGTATTATTACAGTGTTTTTGGTGATTTTATCTGCAAAATAAGTGACCATGGGCCCCAAGAAAGCTTCTAGTGCCAACCCTACAGCAATAAGGGTGAGAATTACTATAGAGATGAAGAAAAAGATCATTGATAAGTATGAAAGTGGAGTGCGTGTCTCCGAGCTGGCCAGGTTGTATAATAAACCCCAATCAACCATCGCTACTATTGGTGGTACAGCTGCTGCTGCTGCTGTACCACCGTCAGCTGCTGCTGCTGCTGTACCACCATCAGCTGCTGCTGTAGTACCGTCTGCTGCTGCTGTAGCGTCGTCTGCTGCTGCTGTAGCACTGTCAGCTGCTGCTGTAGTACCGTCTGCTGCTGCTGTAGCATCATCTGCTGCTGCTGTAGCATCATCTGTTGCTGCTGTAGCATCGTCTGCTGCTGCTGTAGCACTGTCAGCTGCTGCTGCTGCTGCTGCTGCTGCTGCTGTAGCACCGTTGTTGGTGTGGCTTATTGAGAATACCAAGAACAATTAACCCCAGAGGATTTGCCACCCAGGATAACCCAAAAAGTCACTGTCATCGAAGACTGTCTAACTTATTTCCATTGGGGTCCTTAATCTTGTCTCCCAGGATGCAACCCACACCAGTCGACTAACACTCAGGTGAACAGGGAAAAATGCCTGGAACTAGTGCTCATATTGGTGAATTTAAAGCAGCAAAGGTTGGTTTGAGAGATTTAAGAATCGTAGTGGCATACACAGTGTGATAAGGCCTGTTCTGGAAGAAAATGCCAAACAGGACCTACAGTACTCAGGAGGAAAAGGCACTCCCAGGACACAGTGTCTCATCAGTCATTGCTGCATCTTCAATAAAGGTAAGTGTCATTTATTCTTCATTTAGTAGAGTAGTACATGCACAATATATATTGTGCATGTACTACTCTACTATTGTGCATGTATCCTTCTCTTTGTGTGTAGGAAAATGTATATTTCATGTGGTAAAATTTATTTTTTCATACTTTTGGTGTCTTGCACGGATTAATTTGATTTCCATTATTTCTTATGGGGAAAATTCATTCGCATACCGATCATTTCGCATAACAATCAGCCCTCTTGCACGGATTAAAGTCGCTATGCGGGGGTCCACTGTATTTAAAATTTTCATGCTGTTTACATGACTGACCTATATTGTTCTCCACTATATAAATTTATATGCCTGCACTTTGAAGGACAGGTGGGGATGTTAGAGTCAGAGTGGTAATCTGAGTGTGGTAGCAGCACACTTCTGGAAAGATGGAAATTGAGTGAATATTGGTGGATGTATTTTTTCTTTGGGTCACTGTGCCTTAGTGGGAGGCAGATGTTATGCTAAAAAAAATTGTAAAAGCCAATGGAAATGCCAAGGATGGCAATCAGGGGTTGTAGAACCCTATAATTTCCAGCAGCAGCAGTGTCCCCAAAGAAACCCCAAATAGTAATAATAATAATAATAATAATAATAATAAGAATGTTAACATTAAGACAAGTACTCTAACTCCCTTTCAACCAGAGTGCACTCCTTAAGCACCTCTTTTATTCATATATTTTGGAGCTACCCCTGGTGAAAGCCTACATAATTTACTTATTCTTTTATTATTATGTACAGTGGAGGCCTCCATATTCTCAATTTCTATATGTATTTGCTGATGTCGGTCTTGCAAGATGGGGGACCTGAATTTTTGCTTGTCATGGAACTGAAGAACTAAAGCCAGTGCTAAGTAAATATCTAGCATTACTGTTGAAGAATGGTTTGAATAACAGTTATAACAATAATCTTCATTTCCTTAAAACACACAAGTAATGGGTCAACATGCATTTAGATCAGGAGTACAGGAGGGCCCTGCTTATACAGCAGGTTAGGTTCCGGGTTACTGCTATAAAGCGAAAATCACTATAAAGTGAAACATGGCCTTTTATTTATTTTTTTTTTTATTATCACACCGGCCGATTCCCACCAAGGCAGGGTGGCCCGAAAAAAAAAAACTTTCACCATCATTCACTCCATCACTGTCTTGCCAGAAGGGTGCTTTACACTACAGTTTTTAAACTGCAACATTAACACCCCCTCCTTCAGAGTGCAGGCACTGTACTTCCCATCTCCAGGACTCAAGTCCGGCCTGCCGGTTTCCCTGAATCCCTTCATAAATGTTACTTTGCTCACACTCCAACAGCACGTCAAGTATTAAAAACCATTTGTCTCCATTCACTCCTATCAAACACGCTCACGCATGCCTGCTGGAAGTCCAAGCCCCTCGCACACAAAACCTCCTTTACCCCCTCCCTCCAACCCTTCCTAGGCCGACCCCTACCCCGCCTTCCTTCCACTACAGACTGATACACTCTTGAAGTCATTCTGTTCGCTCCATTCTCTCTACATGTCCGAACCACCTCAACAACCCTTCCTCAGCCCTCTGGACAACAGTTTTGGTAATCCCGCACCTCCTCCTAACTTCCAAACTACGAATTCTCTGCATTATATTCACACCACACATTGCCCTCAGACATGACATCTCCACTGCCTCCAGCCTTCTCCTCGCTGCAACATTCATCACCCACGCTTCACACCCATATAAGAGCGTTGGTAAAACTATACTCTCATACATTCCCCTCTTTGCCTCCAAGGACAAAGTTCTTTGTCTCCACAGACTCCTAAGTGCACCACTCACTCTTTTTCCCTCATCAATTCTATGATTCACCTCATCTTTCATAGACCCATCCGCTGACACGTCCACTCCCAAATATCTGAATACATTCACCTCCTCCATACTCTCTCCCTCCAATCTGATATTCAATCTTTCATCACCTAATCTTTTTGTTATCCTCATAACCTTACTCTTTCCTGTATTCACCTTTAATTTTCTTCTTTTGCACACCCTACCAAATTCATCCACCAATCTCTGCAACTTCTCTTCAGAATCTCCCAAGAGCACAGTGTCATCAGCAAAGAGCAGCTGTGACAACTCCCACTTTGTGTGTGATTCTTTATCTTTTAACTCCACGCCTCTTGCCAAGACCCTCGCATTTACTTCTCTTACAACCCCATCTATAAATATATTAAACAACCACGCTGACATCACACATCCTTGTCTAAGGCCTACTTTTACTGGGAAAAAATTTCCCTCTTTCCTACATACTCTAACTTGAGCCTCACTATCCTCGTAAAAACTCTTCACTGCTTTCAGTAACCTACCTCCTACACCATACACTTGCAACATCTGCCACATTGCCCCCCTATCCACCCTGTCATATGCCTTTTATTCACTTTCAAATGTATATAAAAGCCTGGCATGTTTACACTATCATATATTAAGTGAGCAATAGAGCTAGGCCTAAAAAAATGCATATACAGTACACACATTACTTACCTTAAAATATTTTCATCCTTAGCTTATAGTGAGTGGTGAATATATATTTATTGTAGGAAGTCTAAATAAATGAAGAATGGGTATAATTGAAAACTGCTGCATTAGCGAAATGCTGTATAGTGAAGCACTGTAAAGTGGGGCTCTCCTGTATATGAAAAACTACTTTTGTAGAGGGTTTCATAAACTGTGTTAGGAACAGCTGTTTGTTTCTCTAATCTCAAATTTTCCAGTAACACTGACCACATTTTTTTGCTTAGATTTATCTTTGTAAATCTATGCACATGCACACACATGCTCTTTCTAGCATCAGGTTCAGACACTGCTCATGACTACAGCAGGTGCTGTGGTTCATGAAACCTTCTGAAGAAAGTAGCTTTTCTTTCTTCGAAATGTTATATTCTGTGTTTAGGTTCCATGAACCATGTTGTAATCCTACCACCAGTACCAAATTTTTGGCAGTAAACAATGAGGAGTGCGTGGATGGCACTCAAAGAGCACAGAACTTAGGGCAAGAAACTCAATCTGTGACGTGGGTAATTTATAATAATGGATTACTTTATGCTCACATGAAGGTATATGCAAGTAGAAAAATCTCAAATGGGCCATGGGCATGCCTGGCATTATGAGTTAGGGAATGTCAATTAAGCTTGTTTCACAAACAACTTTTCTTAATCAAGAGTATTCATCAATAACCCAAAAATACATGTGGAGAACTATCAGTCAGGATTCAAGAGAGCCGCCTGGTCTATACTTGGATGTCAAAAGTGAAGTAGAGTTCATTAACAGGACTAGGTTGAGAAAGATTAAGGGGGACAGATCCTCGATTCTCAGACCTGTGTAGAGACCCATGGGCTGGCTGGAGTTCAAATTGCGAAAGTTTTGGAAGGTGCAGCATGATGAAAAGTTTTATATAGATTGACTGAGG